GATGCCAAGAAGGCAGTTGAATTATATGAAAAGGCAGTTGAACAAGGAAATGCTAATGCACAAAATAATCTTGGTCATTGCTATCAACATGGAATTGGAGTAGAGAAAGATGCCAAGAAGGCAGTTGAATTATATGAAAAAGCAGTTAAACAAGGAGATGCCAGTGCACAATATAATCTTGGTCATTGCTATGAAGATGGAATTGGAGTAGAGAAAGATGCCAAAAAGGCAGTTGAATTATATGAAAAAGCAGCTGAACAACAAAATGCCAATGCGCAAAATAATCTTGGTCTTTGCTATGAAGATGGAATTGGAGTAGAAAAAGATGCCAAGAAGGCAGTTGAATTATATAAAAAAGCAGTTGAATTATATGAAAAGGCAGTTGAACAAGGAAATGCTAATGCACAAAATAATCTTGGTTATTGCTATAAACATGGAATTGGAGTAGAGAAAGATGCCAAGAAGGCAGTTGAATTATATGAAAAAGCAGCTGAACAAGGAAATGCTAATGCACAAAATAATCTTGGTCATTGCTATCAAAATGGAATTGGAGTAGAGAAAGATGCCAAAAAGGCAGTTGAATTATATAAAAAAGCAGTTAAACAAGGAGATGCTAATGCACAAAATAATCTTGGTCTTTGCTATGAAGATGGAATTGGAGTAGAAAAAGATGCCAAAAAGGCAGTTGAATTATATGAAAAGGCAGCTGAACAAGGAAATGCTAATGCACAAAATAATCTTGGACTTTGTTATGAAGATGGAATTGGAGTAGAGAAAGATGCCAAAAAGGCAGTTGAATTATATGAAAAAGCAGTTGAACAAGGAAATGCCAGTGCACAATATAATCTTGGTTATTGTTATCAACATGGAATTGGAGTAGAGAAATGTGCCAAGAAGGCAGTTGAATTATATAAGAAAGCAGCTGAACAAGGAAATGTTAATGCACTCAGCTATCTTGAATAATATTATAATAAAAAAAGAATTAGTATAGGAAAAATGATTAAAAATTGGTTCACACAGTAGTCACAAGTCACTTTCATATTATACTTTTAATGTTGTATGGGACTAACAACACTATCTTGCATTCTTACTGAAACTTTGTCATTTAGTACTAACTGTTAATTTAAATTGTATATGTAATATAAAATCATGTGATTACTTGTTACCATACTGTTATTTACTAATAGTAATTTATTAACAGATGCCAAGGTGTTATTTAAAGTATGTAAATTTATATATTATAAATTAAGAATTTGTTCATTTACTATTACTTTTTAGAGCAAGCCTATTTATAATATTATGGAAAAAGAAAAACAAGTTGACTATTATTTATATTGTATTGTTGGACTACTTTGACTTGGTTGAAATAAACCTTTTGGACACTACCACAAACCACATGATTTGATTGTATTCATCTATCAATTCAACAGAATAAGTTTGTTTCACTGAGAGTGTTGGCATAAGAATTTATTATTACTTGGCAAATTTAGTAAATATTAAAATGATCTATGAAAACGGACAGTTGGTGATTTGATGTCAAATTAGAGTTTTGTACAATAGTAGGAGATTCGACGATTACTCAATTTCTTTGCGAATGGCAGTACAGTCGATTGTCGATAATTCGACTTCCTATAATTCGGCTTTCCAATAATTCGGTCGTCTTGAGCGAGACCCACTTTTTCATATGATTTTTCTTTTATTTTATTCGATCAAACTATAATTTGTTAAATCGACTACACGGTGAACCTCGTTATAGTGAACCTTCGATATAGTAAATTTGGCTTATTGTAAATGATTTCCTGGTCCCAAACCATGTCTATCAAAATGTTATAGTAAATTTACTATGAAACCTTGTTATAAGTAACAGTGTAGCAGATTTTGCATAAGTAAAACAATCGCTTTATGGTAAATCAATTCAATTATATACAACCAATCAAATTGTTGGTTGATTTGTGTAACCAAGTTGTTCTTACGAAATAAAGGAAGTTGCAAGTACCGTCATTATCATACTATATGTCTGTACAATACTACTACTATGAAGGACCGTTCTAAGAGGCAATCTCCTGTATAACTGCATCACAAAAAAGCGATTATGTGAAAAGAAAGCTAACAATCTACTTTCTCAGCGAATTGAGATACGTGCAACGGTCATTGACTTTGTTGTATGAAACAAAGTACGTTGGATCATTTTTATAATTTGAACCAACATTGAGAGAACAAATCATTGTTAACAGTCACGATGTTTACGTAATCGATAAGACGAACGTATGTTATACTGTCAATTCATGATTGTCATTTGTTTAACGAATTTGATGTAGCACATTGTCAATTGAAATTAAAAAAGTGTTTGTTGATATAGCAAATATTGTTATATCGCGAAACCTCGATACAATAAATCCTCGTTATAGTACTTAATAATTTCTATTAAGTCAGCAGTACATATACATAATTCTAGAATTACGTTCGTCAATTCGACTACAATCAATTATTTCCATTTAAGGATTAATTGATTAATTTTGACCGGCACAAATGAAATAAAAAATTACCATTGTACGTTTATTTTTTTCTCTATCGAAAAAAAGGGCTTATGTTACGTTTAGTGTCGAACAGAAGCAGGAGATATTTCAGCAAAAAGCTGAAAACTCTCAATTACGTGCTAGAATTAGCTAAATTATATCACTTAAACAACCATCTATTACACGTTTTTTATCCTTGTATAATAATTACTCAATCGTCAAAGGCTCTGAATAGTAAACAGTTCAATTAAGTATATGAGGCTTTTTTTTCGACAAACCTGAATCTTTAATTCTTCAGTAACACTCTATCCCTGTTAGATACCGACTCCGACTTCACGTTGATAAACTGCATTTCTATAACGTCACCGTAGAGCTTATTTTCAACAACGAATAATTCAGCGGTACATTGTAATAAGGATTGTTTTTTGGTGGCGGTGAAGGTATTTTTAAAGCATCCGTTTACACACATCAGTAGATAGATAAGGACTTATTTCTATTATTATGTGATAACCGGATTCAGTGATGCCACATACTTCCTTCATCCGTCCTAGGAGGTATACTATCGGGTATTTATTCTTTACTGATAGGGAGGTCCTTGCATGAGTACCAGAGATCCTACAGAAATCCAGTATCTAAATGGTGAAATTTCCCGTGACAAAATAAAAAGATTTCTGATTAAATTTCCGAACATACGCATTTTCTTCCTCGTTATCACCCTAAAAGCAGCAGACGTAATATACGATGAAAAATGAATGAGTCTACGTACGTCTTGACAGTATATGTTTCGCCTGAATAACACTATTCATAGTTTCCAGATATTTAATAAGCTCACGTTATAGCTGTACAGGGAAGAGTAATAAATTTTCTTTAAACTTACATTTCGATTATATTTAAAAGTGGGTTTTAAGTACTGCAATTAACAATTGATTGCATTATCAATCTATCTCATCCGCCACAATTTACATATGTACATGAAAAATTTATAAGTAAAAATTATATGATATTACCATAATTAGCCACATATAATAACTAATAATTAGTAATTTATAATCAGACCTCACATGAAACACACTGATACAATTTAAGACTAATACATTCTCCTAATTGTTTATGATCGTTCTATCAACATATCGTCACATACACCAGTTCGTGACCTTCAAGGTACGTGAGTGTAACGAATAACTAACGAAACAATACAGCTCGTGATGTACATTGTTAATTATCGTTATCATATTAATCCTGATTCCTTCTTATACGAGGAAATTCAAGCTTTTAAATAATGTATATATTCTTATAGTAAACGGGCAGAACATATTATTGTTATGGAAAACCAATAAATTTTAAGATTGTTTATTTCGTAACAGCTTAATTACGTTACGAAATAGTTGATTTCTTTTTGGCACTTACACTCATTGAATCTAATGTTTATTTCGAATCTCACTAGTAATTTTTAAACTGTATTAAAGCTCTAATACAAAATTTATTAATAATTTTTCTTCATGAATTTTTTGTTCATTATGACAAGAAATTTAGCTGACTAGATCTTCTGCCTGAAATTTTGTGATCGCTCTGACATGCTTTCGTAACACTATTTAAATAAATGTGATGTAATGCAATAGAAAGGCAGTAGTAACGTTTCGGAAAATTTATTGAAGCAAATAACATAGTAAGAATTCAGCAACGAAATTTTTAAATCGTACTAAGAAATGGATATATCATCTGTCAAAATAACGTTATATTAATATTTTAATTATCATTATAGCACTTTTCAAATAGTATGATTATCATCAAAAAAAATTTTTTTTTTTGAAAACGAAAACAATTTCAGCCAATAGAATCAGTTATAATCGCCTCATAATCGGTTATAATCGCTGGTGTAACAACCCAACAAGCTTTCTTTCTTGCCTTGCGCTAAGTAAAGAGGTAAAGTTGTATTAGGTAGGCGTCTTCTACTCTTCAGAAAGGTTTAGTAATCACTGGCTCGCGTTATAATCGTTGTGACCAAATGTTGTGTGACTGCTTATTATCATACGTCAACCCTATTTATGTATGTTACACTTTGTTGTACAATTCACATGAAAATCACTGGCGTGCTTATATAAAGAGCGTGAGCGTATGTTTCTAAACGTGTCTACGATATGAACGAAAGAAGGGATTATGGTTCATAGAGAAGTTTCGGAACCTTAAAAAATATAATTTTCGCGAGAACGCAAGCATATAATTTAGTACAAGTATTTCAAGTTTGTAGTGAGGTGAGTTTTTTCTTCTCGCTAGGTATTTGTTACTTTAACCAATCATTGTACGCAACAATCATATTTATTCGATGCGAAAATTTTACCCACCCGCCTCTTCCCACAAGAAAGCTCATATTGTACGTATTTCAAGTCCGGAAAAAAAGTCAACTAGTACGAGCCACACTACGCGAACTGGTCGTCGGTTACTCACCATTTGCATTATAACAATAACAACCAACATTCATCCGAAATGAATCATCCAATTTTCCTCTCTCCCTCACCAAAAGTAACAATTTTATTGATGGGGTTTACTTTATGTAAGTCTTCGGGGATAGTTTCTGTCATTTAAAATCAAGGTGTCAACTCTACATATTTCGCCAACTCTCTTCTACTGTTATTACAGTACTTATAAGTCAAACGAGAGTATCAGTGAGAAACGAGGGGTATGTATCATCTGGAGAAGGATCACTCACAGCCATACATACTATGGCGGCGTCGAACTCCGTGAACTTAACTACAGGTGAGTTATCTTTTATGTAAAATTATGTTGCTGCGTTGTGATGTCAGTCGTTCGGTTATAAGATACCATCTCATCATTCTGGTCTCTAGACTATCTGGAAATACAAATCTCACATTTAAAATCCAACAATTTATCTCCACCAAACCCTCAGCTGTAGTAGCAATCGCCGTAGCAACCACTACCTATGTAGCAGGAAGATCAGTAGGCACGATCGTAGACAATTGGGGAGAAAGCAGCTCTTCTTCTTCTTTTTCCTCCCCTAGCGGATGAAGTATAGCAAATCTTTTTACCCCTTTACTTATAAAATAAGCCATTCATTACACCATCGAGAGTGGTCTCAAGGAGATCTGGTGTCGGACACCGCGGCCTCTATATGGGTGAGTTATATTTTATGGTTATGATTCACTCTTTGTCAGCTTAGGAAGCGATAACATTGATACCATTTCTCTATATTAATATTAATAGTTTCGAACTCCGAGACCAGCCTTTTCACTCAACGCACAGCACAGCGCACCAGCACTGGCAAGATGCAGTCTTCCGAGTATAACATTATCTTAACAGATAATTCTAGTGCATACTCGGATTTGACTAGGGTCAAAACGACTTTGATATTATTATTAATATGTTTTTTATTTATTTTTAAAATATGCATTTGTAGTTGTTACATATAACAGCGTTCTTGCATTCTGTATCATGTTCAAGAAAATGCAACGAATTAGTTATCTTCTTATTTGTGTCATCATTTCATATCTCCAAGATCTTGCAGCTTTGATAGCCTTAATTTTTCAAGTTGTCTGTCAACGATATAAACTATCCCGCCGATTTTGCGGTTGGTAAGCTTTCTTTGCGCGTATTTGCTTGCCGATCATGATTCCTATAAACAAATGGATTAAAGAAGTTGATTAATTTATTGTTTACACTAGTAAAAAACAGTCAACCTTTTAACATCAGTTCCCATTTAACCGTCCCTAATAAAAAAGAAATCGATACATGTTCCAAACAATGCAACCGTAAATCGATCTTCGTTAATGTATCCTCGTTAGAGAATTTACATTTTCATACAGATTTGCATGACTGATTGGATCCATTATTGACCGTGATGTTTACGGACGTATTTTCAAAAATGATGTTATTTGCGACTATACGTAAGTCCTGTCAAAGTCCACAATATAGGAATAAGCATGACCAATAGAGTTTCCGTATCATGAATTTACAAGAGAAATTTCGAGAAACTTAGAAGCGTCCTCGGCTATCTTGCCCGTGCTCAATCACAACTTTGTAGAATGTCCATTGCAAAAAGCAGCCTTGTCGACTTTTGGAGGTGTATCCGGTCTTCGTCTCCGTCACCTGTAATATTTTCATCTGTCACATCATAATCAAGTGACAATGTATCTTGTTTTTGAGATTAATCTAAAAAAGTAAAGACAAGATGAGGAATGTATACTCCTGATTTCGAAAGCTATGAATATTGATATCTGAACGATTCATTTTAATGTAAATACAATACCTCACCCCCTCATTGTCAGTTTTTACTAGAAATGTCAATCACATTGGCAGATTTCTCGGCGGAGCTTTTGAATTTCTACATAAATAAAAGGACGCCATCATAAAACGCAACACACAAACCTAATGTCAAGGTTGCGTTACGTGGTATACTTGCCAAAATCTCTGCCCGTGTTTGATCATTCCAAGCTGCCATCCACATTTTTAAGTGAACATGAAGTTTTCATGATCCCAGATAATAATCCTCGCCTCTATGCTCACGGTAACATTAGCTACGCGTTTGAATGCCAATTTACTATCCATGGCATCGCCAACGATTATCTTTGACGTAGGCTTGATAGACGGTGAAAAGTAGTGCCGCACTCCAATAAGTCTTATCAAGCCAAGCCGGCACATTATGTAGTATTATTATCCGTCTTCCCGATTATCCGGCCAATTCCAATTGTAACACCAGTTATAATTGTTTACACTCGTAGGTGTAACTATTAAAGGAATGCGAAACTCTTAATTTTTTATAATAGATGCCACGACATTATCGAATTACATGAACAATGTTAATGTAGGAAATTTGCCAAACACTTTGCTTACTTGATGATGAACACCGTATGTAACTGCGCATTTATATTGGTTACCCGGCCCTCGAATAGCAAAAATGCCTTCATTCGGCTTGATGGGCCGTAACATCCATAATATTTACTTGTAGATGAGTCATAAATTATGGTGCGACTAATATAATAGATAGCAATCTATGACGCAAAGAATGCATGGGAGATCCCGTTATATTGAGCAGTAAATTTTCCAAGTTTCAATTGTTAATATACATTGATACTAGACTACGGTCCTTGTACGTTCTCTGCATTTTACACTCGTAAATTTGAATTATTCTGCTCGCAAGGTATGATATATTTGATGTATATTACAATATACCGTTTATTTAAGCTTGAAAAACCAAGAGGCTGTTATTATTATTGCAAAAAATTTTATCCGTAAGATGCATGCCAAGATTCTGGGCTGAGTCATACCGAGACAATTTATTATTATGGATATTTGTTAGCAGGCATAAGTCAGATCGTCTGTGTACCTGTGTCTGCGTCACTCGTGTTTCCGTTCGTGTCCTTGATCAACCTTATTTATTCGTGCATCCGTAAAGAAAAATATTTTGTTACATGCGTACAGGGGTTAAACTTTTATCCATGTGCTTGTGTGTTTATATGAATGTAAATCCTTGCCATCCATGTAACCTTTTGTTTTCGAATTTCATAACATTTACCAACGTTTGGCTCTACAAATGTCTTCCCAATTAATTCGATGCGGTTAATCGGAATGGTATTCGGATTGTTATTTCATCCGTCTGCCATATCCTGTTTTGATTCTGCAACATTGTTGATAATAAATAAAAGGGTTTCTTATCTTGTCGATTAGAAGGCTATCAACGTCCTTTCCACCAAAGATGGTATCGGATATACTTTACCAACACATTATTTTATCACGAGATGTCTTGCTAAAATTATGGGACTCCGCCGAGTAATTAAACGAATTGATCGTTGTTTGTGTTGTTTTACATTTTAAAGTCGTGGCATTCGAAAAAGGGAATGCTCATGTTACACTGTGTTGTCAGATAACAAACAATCTCTTTGTGCTTTGTGCGAATAATATTAATATGGGTAAAAACCAGATGATAAGGTAGTTGCGCCACAAACATTTCAGGGGTCTCCTGGCGACAATTAATAATTAACATGCTTTGTCAAGACAATTTTATCCTTCGATAAATCGCTAAATATGTCGAACACTATTACTTTATCTCAATCATCCTTGAGAGAGAATTAAATACCGAGATACGATATGAAACTATGGTTGCTCCTGCATCCCCAATCTGATTATGATGAAGGTTTAAAGGAGTCGGGGAAGAATTCGATTTCATTGAATCATGCATCTAATCATTGGATAAGGGTTATCCAACAACAACTCTTCGTCATTAGATCTTCGGAGAAGGAGTTGGAGTAGGTGGGTCTAGAACTGCGTCATAATAACTGGCTACCAGAATGTATATTACATACATTGTTTATTCGGAAAGAAAGCTACCAGATATGACTACAACCTTAAATTTCATAAATTGCACAAAGTATATCGAATCATCAGGAGCAGAGAATTAATGCAATTCATAAAGATCAAAGTTTAGAGTCAACGATTGGCTTACCGGGAAGCGCTAGAACTTTATGAAGGTAGACAATACTTAAGACTCCCTGCATGTGTTTTCACTGACACAAATCCTCGTAAAACTTTATCGGTCGAGATCATTATTTTCTGCATCCCCCAAATTTTATACTCAATGAGAAACAATACGTATTGTTTAACAAAATAGGAATGCAGGATAAGGTAAATTCATGTAGTAATAGTGCCAAGAAAAACCGAAACGCATCCTGAAAAAAACGCGTACGTCAGTCATGTCCAAATTTACAAACAGGCGCAGTTGTGATAATGAATTGGCGGTTAGGAATTAAGCTCATTAGTCATATTACCCTTGCCTGCTAGGTTGATTGAGATTAATCGCATCAGCCAGCCAGTGAAAATATCGTTATTGGAGAGCAATACTGCAAGAGATTTATAAACGATTTTATTGCCGAATCAAATTTGAATTTGAACCCTTGAGCGATAACGCAACGGTTACCTTTCAAGCAATGCTCTTATCGTCATGATTAATATCTGAGCACCATTTCATGAACTAACCATGTGTTACATATACACTGTTTCCTATCCTTGGTTCCAAGTTCATTCGTTTCACTCTTACCTTTGAGAACTCAACGTCAATGAGTTTATACGTGCAGGTAAAATATTAACCATTTGCACCTTACAGAAAGTGCGCAATCTGTGACGTAATTCATCCAACTGCGGTGTTACTATCTTTGTTTTGCCCTACGCATAATAGTAACAAATAACACAGGTTGGTATTGTTTCGTAAAGTAATTCCAAGGGTTCGCAAAGACAAGTAACGTAGCACAGGGGGAGTACATTCCATCGAATTTGCTTCGTCCATTCTATAAATGGTATAAGTGCTCTCTTCCTAATTAATCCTTTTGCATATCTTCATTCAAATTCTACTTAACGACAAATAAATTCCACCACCAATAAACGAGCACTGAACACACAAATAACAAGCACTGGATCGCTTCCAAGCATGCACAGTATCACGGAGAAATGACCAATCGAGCAATGGACGACAAAGAAAGGAAAAGAAAGTCTGGTAGGTTATTCCGAGTTCGAATTTCCACTTGCTTTCACGTTAATTGCATCTTCCACATTTAGACTTACCCGACTTACTCAACCATCACATTCTTCATCCCACTATTTTATCCCCCATCAACAAACGCTTCATTAATTTTATCTTTTGACAAATAACTCTACTCACAATTCCCACTAGCAAACCTCCTCCCCCCTCTCCCCCCTTTTCTGTTTCTCTAACCAACTATATCGTTTATTGACCCATTTTATGACTTGCTCCATTGACAATTATTCAATTCATTCTTGCAAATGGCAAGTGCTAATCTACAATCAATAGCTGATCTAACAACAACTACACACATAACAACGGGAGATATCCCTCCCCCGCTTGTGGGTGCCTCAACTACTACCGTCGGGACCGAACTCTACTTGTTTGCTGGACGACTGGTGTCCTCCCGCCGAATGACCAATGACTTGTACGTATTAGATTTGACTACTTTTGTATGGAGAAAGACGGAAACTAAAGAAGACGAAACTCCCAAAGCACGATATTTTCATTCGGCAAATCCGTACAAAAAGTCGATTATATTCTTTGGTGGAATGGGATATTCGAAAACTGCTAATGACGGGTTATGCGTGTTGGACGATATCAATATCTACAATACCGAAACGCAATCTTGGCAAAACCCAGAAATAGTCCCGTCAGCGATACTGCCAAAGCCGAGGTATGCACACTTGGCTGCAATCGCCGGAAACAAGTTGGTTGTTGTTGGTGGACAGGATATGACTAATGTTTATATTGAGGAAATTAACGTATATGATATTGAAGAAAGGACTTGGACCTCATCACGTTCGTTCGAGAAACACTGCGGAGCGTATAGATCTGTTGCTATTAGCTGTGCCAGCCATACAAACTTGCCGTCGTTTGGTAGCAATCTTGTGGATGCAATGTCACTTGCACATGATGATCAGCCCATATTCCCCGATCCGCACATGTCTCGGCCGTTGAGAAGATCCGGTTCACAGCAATCCATACAGTCTAGCAACAACAGCATTGTCAGCAGTGCAATGTCGACTTCCACACATGGAAGTTGGGGTAGTAGTGTGACCTCTGGTCCGTCCGGAGTAAAGTTAATGAGGAGTAGATCTATCAAAAGAAACCAGTCGACGAGCGGATCTTATTTCCGACTATCATATACAACTACAGTAACAGCGGAAAATCCCAACCCAATATATCTATATTCTAATTATAATTTCACCGATGTCAAGAGAGAGTTACAAGTCATTGCTCCACCAACTACTGCTAATTATCAGATCATGGATCACTCGGCTAACATGTCTGGACCTTTTCTTCCGCCGGGTCTTCGATTTCCAACTGGTGGTATTCTCGGTCACCATATCATAATATCCGGTACTTATCTCACTGACGGCGGTCAAACGTTCAGTATATGGGCATTGAATTTAGCCAATTTGATATGGACGCGCATTGATACGGGGTCCTGTTTTATGCACGGGTCTTGGAATCGTGGTGTAATGTGTGAGGCAATGAACAAATATGCAGTTTTAGGACACCGAGATCGGTCTCTCGTCGAAGACTATAACCATCGACAAACTAATTATGACCATGTGACTTTGGTCGATTTGGAGGCATTTGGAATATATCAGCCTCCATCTGCCACAATGACACCAATAGCGCAGGAACTAGGACTGGCTCTGTTGAACGAGCCGAATCTTGCCGACTATGAGGTTGTGACTTTGGATAAAAATCGGATTTCGGTCAATTCGCACATCTTGTCACAAAGATGGCCTCATTTCCAAGCATTAGTTGAGCAGCAAATCGAGCGAGTTCCCGAACTGAAATATGATAACGACCATCCACAAGATAGCGAAGAGAAAATGGTAGCAATGTACAAGCACAGAGTGATCGATTTTCCTGAACCATATCCAGTCACGCTTGCCTTTTTGCAGTACCTGTATACCGACAATTTGCTTACAAATCAACAGCAGCAACCTCACATACTAGCACAGCTATTGTTATTGGCTGACATGTATCAACTCGAGAGATTGAAAAAGCTGACTGCACATGCACTTCATCAGGCATTGAGCATGACGACAGCTGCGTTGATATACGAGACTGCAGCATTATCAAAAGAGACTGGCCTACAGATACGTGCATTAAAGATGATGGTCGCGGCCAAGAAGATACTTCAACAACAACAGCCACAACCGCAATCACAACCGCAATCACCACAACCACAATCACCACAACCACAATCACCACAACCAATACGGCAACTCTCACCAACAAATTCTTTTGCATCTCTTGGGACAAGATCGAGGGCGAATACATTTACATCAGAGCACGATCCATCACAATTTGTGAACCCGAAACCTACTACGAATAACGCTGATGTGAGAACCTCGTATTATGATGCATTCCCTCAACTGGCTACATCGTCTAATGCATCACAAATAACTGGAAGAACTAGATCTTCATCGTTGGTATCTGCATTTAGTGGTTCCTCCCCATCGCTTAGAGGAGTTTTACCGGCAATCAGAGACTCTCGAACTAGCATTCTTTCCGAGGAATCGCAATATAAATTGAGATCGACAAAGTCTACTAATTCATTAAAGTCCATAAAACCGAACAGAAATATCTTTGCTATTAGTAATGGATAGATAATGAGCGAACGCGGACAAAGAAAAATTATTTTAATTATTATGTTTGGATGAAAGGGGGTTTGAATTTTTAAATAAAATATTACTTGTAGAACAACTTATTTCCTGATTTTTTATTTATTTTTGTGTCTCTTCTCTGATTATGATTAAATGACTATAATTAATAGATATATTTGTTTATTCTATCAAATGTAATCATATTCAGGGTGTAAATTAGTAAAACTAGATATTACTCTATGAAATTGATAGGGTTTGGATAGCGGGAAATGGGAACTTTTTTTTTTGGTTCTGCTGCCAAAAGCGGATGAACTGTTAGAATATTGATTCACAAATAATAAACTCTCACGAGGCTGGCAACACGCTTATGGCGGAGAGCAAACCATAAAGATGCCTACGCTTAACTGATATTCGGTTGTCTAGATACTGACCCTTTTGAGCGCTTGTGGGTCTTTCGTTTTTACCGAGAGCGTACCAACTCGCTGGGCCGAATTGCTGACTGATGGTTACGAGCTCTCTATAGAATTCTTTGATCCTTGAAACAGATGATACACAATGCATGCGAATAGTAATCTTTCTTGTGAGCCCTTTGATTTCATATAAACAAAATCCCTTGCAGATAAGACAATAATAATTAAATTTTCCATGGAAATACCAATGATCACCGTTTTGGGATACACAGAAAACGTGAATATGCATGGTTATAAAACCGGCATTGTATCACTTAAACGAGGCATCATTGATGCAAGCCTATCGTATGTACGCTTATGTGGGACGTTCCAGCATTATTAATATAAATTTAAGGTTTTTCATACTTTATTGGTTCCAACGGGAATTATGAAACACGCATACATAAAGACCAATCTTTTGCAAGTTCGACTTTTCAGTCTTAAATGATTTGTCATTTTATTATTGTGGTTATTCACTAATAATGTTTATTTTCGTAATGATGACTGTAGTTCGGTACTTGGAGTTTTGCGTTCATTTATTAGTTGTAATTCGGACTTGTGCAGGTTCGGGTAATAACGATAAATTTGACTTGATGATCACCTAGAATACATCATTGTTATTTTTTGACATGTTTAGTAACGATCTCCCGTCCAAAAATTTAAAATTAAATGATCTACATTAATTATTCCAAACTAGTTGATCCAAAAAGTCGGAACTTCCATATGCAAAGCATATTCGGGGAATGGGAGAGTTTACGCAATTCTTCCAACAGTATGATTGTGGACGATTGATGAAACATGATAATAACGTAGCAGAGTACCGAACACTAATACAGATAATATGCTTACCGCTTCTTTATTTTAAATCTCCAAGACCTTCGTCCGGAAGACTCTTCCTCTTCGGCATTGTACTCGTACTCACCTATTTCTACGTAATACGCAATTTTTATTACCAAAGCTTACCGCTTATATTATGGAGAGAGTAGTGTTTAAAATATTAAGTACAATAATTAATTTCTTCGATGGAACATCTAGGGCTTTCAGTTCGTTACAATGCAAAGCAATTCATAATCATTACATATTACATATAACCGACGTAAGTAGGCAGGATTGTTTTGCGTTCCTGAAAGTTTATTGTTCGTAAAATTTTCCAGATAATGATCAAAACATAGTGAAATTAGCGACTGGTCCGGTAGATCCTAAAAAGGAGTAATATAATGATGATATTGCTACCGCAAGGCTTTTATCAATCAGAATGAAATTGAAGCAGAAAAAGATAAACTTAGAGTCATTGGATTATATCAAAAGTCGCTAAACAAGGATTTTGCAGACCAAACAAATCTTGGTGTGTGTTGCCAGAACATAGTTAGAGTAGAATGAATGGCTGTTGAATTATTAGAAAAATTGCCAAACAGGAATTTGCCATAGCACATGTTACCATGTCGGAACAATACACAAGGAGAGCATTCGTATATCAACCTTGAAATTTAACTTTTCGAACGAGACCTTTGACTACTTCTACTAATGTTAAACCTATAAACGACGGTTAATAATCTTAAAATTGAGTTTTGACACTCACGATGCTTGATCAGTCTTGTATACGTGGATTATTTACCCTCGAGTTCTTACATCTACTTTTTTTGATGGGATTAATTTCAAAAGCCTGTAGGTCGGTGAATTTCTCTAAACTAACGCGTTTATCAGGATTAATAATGTATCAAAGTTTCTACGAATTCGAAGGCAAGTTTGACTTTATTTACCGCTGATGCGGAAAGGCGTTTTACTTTTACCGGCGATAAAATAACTTCACCAGGGAATGAACAAATATTTGAACACTGATTTTGATTAGATTACATGTAGAATGTAAAGAATTATTCTAATTGCAAGGAATCCTACCATTTATCATAACAAATAACTACCACTGTAAGGAAATCTCTTATCACCAGTCATTTGGAAATGACGTGGTCACGGCGATACTTCGTTGATGTTAAATTACTCAAAATTTACACTTAGGACAATCAGGTACTAGTCTACATCCTAATATTCTTTTAACAAATAACGTAGAGATGAGTGATTATTTGTTTGAAAACGACTCAGTCATAACAATACTTCTTTACGTTTACATTGAATTGTTCAAGTTTCACACTCAAGGTAGTCAAATACTAATCAAATGTCTTATTATTTTTCATCTTAACAAACAAGCGGAAGATGACTATCCGTTTACAAGTAATTAATTTTATTATCACTGCTTATTGAAAATGACTCACAGCTATAGTGATGCTACCTTTACGCCTGATCGCTCACTTTAACTTTGAAATTCAATATGATTATTAGGAAAAATAAAGAAATCGATACGGAATCAAAACATATAAAGTAGACCAGATCACGCTCTTCCTTTCCACTTTTAAAAAAGAGAACAATTATTCCGCAATTATCCCAAATAATAGCATATCGCCAAAATTTCGTAGAAATGACTCGAATAATTGATTCCATAACACCATATGAATCAATTATTGACTTCCCCAGACTTACTTCTCATGTTTTCCCTGAAACATATTCCCATTATATCCTCATGTTTCCTAACGCAATAGTACAAAAGTAGCCGTATGCGCATCGTATAAATTATCATCTTCTCCGTGTCCTAGGTTGGCACAAATTTCCTACTTGTAAAACGAAATTATTGCCGCCCGTATATTTGTACTCAAGTCAACAAACCTACCTGCTTATTCAGAATATCGATCAATTAAAGATTCAGATACTCAAAAATCTCCGAACACTCACCGTATTCTGGAATGCTGGTGCGTTTCTCCAAAAATATACCCGGAAAATCTTTGGTACCAAGAGAAACCTGTAGAAAATAATCCATACTTACGATCATACCATTCTCTTGCTTCGCGACTATTACAAGACAACGACTTCACCGCTAATCCAATATGGCCATGTGCCGCTCGCATAGAAACTGAACAAATTATACCACCCGTAAACCGTGGAGACATAGTAGTCCCCTCACACGATTTTCCCGATGAGATTCACAATGAATATTCTCATTACACCCGCTTAGCTGTAGAGTCTATGTACAAATGATGATAACAAAATACCAATCTCTTTACATGATCCCGACTTAGAAGCACTTCTGTACCCCTGATGGACATGGACATTATGACTGGCGAACTGAAACAAAATGCCTCATTCTCCAGTGATAAAATCGAAACTTACGGAGACTACATTCCATATGGCCGATATGGTCATGCATGCAACTAGAAAAGCATCGTAATTTTCAAATAATATCCGAATGGTTCATCAACGACAAACTGACTAACACAATTGACAGAACTATCAAGGCAAAGCAATTACTATAAACAAATCTGTAACAACACTGCTGCTAATAATTATCTGTACAGGTGATTCCTACTTTTGTGAAAAAGAATTACACCTAAGCACAATGATGAGGTATTTAGGACTCCCATCATTGTTTCACACTATCTAAGAAAACAAGTAGGAATACCCAAAGAAATTTTAAGAAACACCAATACCAAAACACATTACCTTCAAACTGCCCCTTTCATGTTACAGTATTATACATATAGTAATAGTAATAGTCCTAATCTCAAAAAAAAAGTGTGTTTATTTTGTAAAGATTCAAGAGTTCCTATTACTATCCTATAAAATAATAATCAATAGCATACTGCAAGAAGGATATTCTGGGTGCTTTTTAGAAGGCTGAGATGTTGTATATATAGAGGTTATAGTTAAAGGTGACTATTTTAAAGGAATGGACTAGTTAAATAAATATTTAATATGTAAATAAAAATTTTTATACATCTTGTGTCAAAACCTTTTGAACCCCCTATGTACTAAAGCTGTTGATCCTGTATCTCCAATTTGATTTCCCCGAAGATCCAAAGAAGTCAGAGAAGAATTTGATTCTAGAGCCTTTGCCAAAGCTGTTGCTCCTGTATCTCCAATTTGATT